TCTATCTATGTATCTATCTATGTATCTATCTATCTATCTATCTATCTATCTATCTATCTATCTATCTATCTATCTATCTATCGACATCCGGGGGGGGGAGAGGGAGGGAGAGAGAGAGTACATACACACATACACACACACACACACTGATAGTCTATCTGCTCTCTGGTAGGTTTTCTTTTCTTCATTGTATCCCTCTTTCTCCACCTTTATAACAGGCCCAGGAGTTCCCCAGAGGCAACAGCTCTGGTTCCATCAAGAAGAAGGCAAAATACGTCAATTTGTACACAAAAGAAGGTCAGGACAAGCTGGCCGTCATGCTTCCAGGACGCCATTCCTGTGAGTGCCTGGCCCAGAAGCACAAACTCATCAACAACTGTTTGACATGCGGGCGCATCGTTTGTGAACAAGAAGGGTCTGGGCCTTGCCTATTCTGTGGAACTCTGGTATGCTAAAATCTCCTGTAGGTTTTTGTTTTTTTATAAAAGCAGCAAGGGTGGTGCTGTTTTAAGGAGAAACCTCTTTGAAATATTATATTTCAGTTTATATTTTAAATACCGTATTTTTCGGAGTATAAGATACACCTTGTTCCCTCAAAAAAAGAGGCTGAAAATCTGGGTGCATCTTATACACTAAATATAGAATTTTTGGCCTCCCAAAACCCCGCCCCCCTTCACCAAAATGGCCATGCAGAGCCTTTAGGAGGCTTATAGAGTGCTCCTGGGGGCTGGAGAGGAGAAGAAATGAGCAAAAAACGGGCCATTTTTTGCTCAATTTTACCCACCCACCCGCAGCCCCGAGGAGCACTCTATAAGTCTCCTAAAGGCTATGCATGCCCTTTTTTGACAAAAAACGCCCATTTTCGTGAAAAACTGGCTGTTTTTTGGGAGGTCTGCAGAGTGCAAAAACTTTTTTTTAAATTTGCTGCTTCAAAATCTTGGTGCGTCTTATACTCCGGTGCGTCTTATACGCTGAAAAATACAGGTATCTGTTTAACACCGCGATGAAAGAGATACCTGTCATAACCTCAGATTCCCCTTTGTCTACAGCACAGAAGCTCCCACTGTAAAACAGCCACCATGTATGCTCATTAAAAAAAATAAAGGTATTCTTAACGAGGCTACATATTACTGAGCTATAAGGCAAGAAATGAGTCTAGATCAAAGATCAAAGGCCTGGAGACCAAAACATATGAAGAACAGCTGCAGGATTTGGGTTTGGCTAGAAGAAAGGATTAGGAGTGACATGATAGCATAGGCATCCTCAAACTACCGCCCACCATGCAAAGTATCCGGCCCCTGGAGTGGGTGGATGGAAAGCAGCAAGGAAATCGTGGGCACTTCATCTCTGGAGGTTTTTAAGAAGAAACTGGACAGTCCCTTGTCTGATTCTTCTGCTTGAGTAGGGGGCTGGACTAGAAGACCTCCAAGGTCCCTTCCAACTCTATTCTTCTCATGAGAAAGGTAGTGAAGTCTCTACTTGACACTTGGTAGTTTTTAATTTGCTTTGAACCTATTTTAATTTGGAAAATGCTTTCCTATCACATGTAGATGAAGTTACAGTTTTGAGAGCAGTCTTTTAACAGTGGACAAATTATGCACCTGTAGCAACGAGCAAAGATATTTCCTACGTGTAGTTGGAAGACTTTAAGTTTAGCCGGACGTTTCTCCTTCTCTTGCAGGTGTGCACCAAAGAAGAACAGGATGTCTTGCAACGGGATTCCAACAAGAGCCAAAAGCTGTTAAAGAAACTTTTGGGAGGTTGGTATTTTCCGAAGGACAATCGGCTTTTTTTTATGGGAAGCTGGCAAGGAAAGTTGCAAACCACGATCACGTGATGAGGGGGACACAACAATACTTGAAAATCTGGGCTGATTGAAAAGCACCCGTTTGTTTAAAAACTTTTAACAATGATAGTTTATAAGGTAAAAGTTCCCCTTACGCATATGTGTTAGGGAGACATTGGCTAAGTGAATTTTGCCCCCGCTTTATGAGCTTTCTTGTCACTGTTGTTAAGTCAATCACTGCGGGTGTTAAGTTAGTAACATGGTTGTTAAGTGAATCTGACTTCCCCATCGACTTTGCTTGTCTGAAAGTTGTAAAAAGTGATCACATGACCCCGGGACACTGTAACCGTCATAAATGTGAGTCACTTGTCAAGCATCCAAAAGTAAATCACGCAACCCTGGGGATGCTGCAACGGTCATAAGTGGAAAATGGTAATAAGTCATTTTTTTCCGGCGCCGTTGTAACTTCAGATGGTCACTAAACAAGTCGAGGGCCGTCTGTAATGCAGTATATTGTTGTTTATAATATTTAAAGAAAAAACACTCCTAAAAATAGTAAAGTGGGGGGAGTGCTTGCTTCGGCAGCACATATACTAAAATTGGAACAATACAGAGAAGATTAGCATGGCCCCTGCGTAAGGATGACACGTAAATTCATGAAGTGTTCCATATTTTTAGAAGATGGATTGACTATACTCAAAATAAATATGGGCCTAAAAAATTCCACATAGTTTATGATTGAAGAAACAAGGAATGACATAATCTGTTTAGAGTTAGCCTAGCAAAGAGGAGTTAAAGCTCAATTGAAAG